ATATATATATATATATATATATATATATATATATATATATATATATATATATATGCTTCACAGAAATATTGACATTGGTTTCTTACTGGGCCTAGCCCAGTACTCAGCATTGGAATTGGTTTAATTTACCCAATCCATTTGAGAAATGGAAGACGAAGAAGCAGTGTCGTGCATGTGTTACGCACAGATCTTTCCTGTCGTTTTATCACGAGAAAAACGACGTGCAGTTTACTTACTAAATGTACAAACTAATTAACCTACAAGAGTTGTTTCGGAAAACTAAGCTACGTGCAGTTTTCTTAATTTACTTAATTTCGAGGGGTTTTTCCGTCCAATGATGTGGTTTAGTTCTTTTTTTATATATAGTTATTTGATATTTTTAATTTTATTTCATTTTATGAATTTTATTTTCTCAATTTAGAGGATTACTTGTATGTTTGGGTGTTCATAAATACAATTAAATAGAGACCAGCCAAAACCATTTTATTTCGTACCGTCACGTCATGAAAAATATTCGATATTTTTTTTGTTTCTTTGATAAATCATCGCAATAATATTGGTGATGAAAACTTTGCGTAACAATCTTTTAAATATAAACACAAATCGATTAGAAATCTTAAAACGTCGTACTTATATTCATAGATATTTGATATAAAAAAATATTTCTTTATTTTTTTTATGAAAGTATTTCTTTATTTGATAAGAAAAAATGTGTTTCCGTTAATTAAATATTTTTTAAAATATGTAAAATCCAATAATTCGACACATTGTCATTATAAATGTAGCGGGGGTATATATAGTCCAACTGCTCTCGTGACTGTTATTAATTTCACCAATTAATGCAAAAGTTTAGCCATTCGTCGTTATTGCATGCAAATACGTACATTCATATATATACACACACACACACGTATGTATCTCCCTCGAGATGTCACATTCTTTTGTCGTAAGATCGATTGCCTCTATTCAATGCAACTGCCCACCACCACATACCTCTCACTTATATTATACACAACGCTCTAAAAAAAAAAAAAAGAAATTTAAAACAAAAATGATTTATAATTGTGATGTGGTTTGGAACTTAATTCATATGTTTTAAGAATCTTAGAGATAAAATGACAATATAATAAAACCTATGTGATTTCTACAATGATTCATTCAATCTGCTATTGCTCTTAAGAAGACAAAACAAAAGAAACCAATGTCCGAAATATTATATAATTTTTTTAAAAAAAATTCTACAAAGGAACTAGACATGAGATGCAGGAGAAGAATGAACAACCTTGTTTTGTCTCCCTGCAAGCCAAAGCATGGTCCTTCTTGCAAAAGATGGTGTTTTTGTCTCCAAAGATTCCGAATTCTCGCTCTTCTGATTCTCCTCGTCGCTACCGGCCTCGTTCTTACCGTCGGGTATTGATCGTTGGACCGGAAATCTGAATGAAAATGCTCTTCTTGATGAAGATGCCAAAGAACAATCCTCTCTTGGAGCCTTCTGCTTCTCTTTCTTGCCCCTTAACCATACTTTCGACACCGAGAAGCTCTCTCTTTTCACGACATTCTTCTCGATACCTTTCCCCTTCCCGTTTGCCTCTTTTTCTTCAGTGATTCTCATTGATTCGGTTCTACTGAATCTGAATACTCCTTTTCCATCACAACCACATTCAGACATTGCAGTCCTGTGACCGGGCAACCGAGGTTCCTTTCTGGACAGTTTCTTGGCCGAGACATTAACTTTAAGTGCAGATTCTTCATCCATTATGTATTCATATGATCCCATTGAAAAACACCTCCTTTCATCTACGTTACTGCTATCACTAATGTTCTTATCATTACTACCTTCACCCACGTCATCTACGTTCCTAAACTTCCCTAGCTTAACTGCAAAAGGAACAACCTTTTCACCTGAGTTGGTCATTTCACCATCTGAGACTTGAGTGGCAACGGATTTTAGAGGAATCCCGCCAGATTTGTGACCCGAATCGAGATGGGTCGATCCAAGATCGAGGCTTCCATCAAATCCCAGATGGGGATTGGACTGCGAGTGAGAATCTGGTGCAAGACATGAATTGTTTCTTCCAGCAGTGTCTTCATTACCAGCAGCGCAGGATGCATTGTCTCTGTCCATGGCAATCTCTCTTGAGCTATGATCACTACCAGACTCAAGAACAAGAAGATATGAAGAACAGGGGGCATACTGCGATGAGAAATCAGAGAGCAGACTGGATCTGCACAAGGGACAAGTCGAGTGAGACAGAAGCCAAGTGTCTATACAGTCCATGTGAAAAGCGTGGCTGCATTTGGGCAGAAGCCTGAGCTTGTCCTCTGACTCGAACTCAGAGAGACAAACAGCACAATCGAATGGGTGATTCTTCAGGCCGATGATGGATTTGTAATGAAACACAGGTAAAGTGTCGATGAAGGATTGGTCAACACCAGAGTCATGCAGGTGAAAGAGCTGCTGTAACTGGCCTTGAAGTGCTGTGACATTGTCGAAATAATCGTCTCTGTCTCTGTTCGATGGTGATAGAAGGAATCTAACCAGAAGATGTAGCAGACCAGAGATGAAGAAGATGATTGACAAGATGATGATTATCAGGAGAATACTGGGGCTGATCTTACTGTTCAGATCAAAGCTAGTGTCGGGCCGAATCGGTGGAGGAGGCGGTATCATCAGTGGTGGTGAAGGAGAGATGAAATTCTGGGTTGCTTTGATTTCCGGGAAAACCCACTTCATATTTTCCCGAGAAAATTTCATGGGAGGGAAAAAAACGGAGAAGGGCTCACAAAGGCTCAAGCTTTATGCTCGGTTTCAGACATGAACATGAAGAAACCCGGAAAATTTTCTCGGCAAACATACATGCCCTGTTTATGAGATTGGGTTTTCTTCAACTGGAGAGCTCAAATTTGAGAGAGAGAGAGAGAGAGAGAGAGGAATTAGGGAATTACAGGTGGGAAGAGATGGTGACAGAAGAGAATTCATAAAGATTTTTTTTTTTCAAATATAAATCAGAAAGAGTGAGAGAGCCCTATGAATGAATCTGCTGGCTTTAAAATTTAGGCAATGACAAAAAAAAAGGGATTGGATCTGATTTACCTTAAGACATGGAAAGTCAATCAAACATTTATTTAATGAAATTTTATGAAATAATGATAATATTAATTACTTATTTTAATGATCTCACCAAATCCCATGCTCCCCCATTTAAATCAACAAGACAAAGAACACAACTTTACGATTCACAAGAAAAAAAAAACATTTATTATTAGATCATTTCAAGCATGACGCTCTCTTCATTGTCATTATTTTGCTCATGTTAAATATTTTCCCCTAAGCATGTTCTTTTTCTGCTTCCTAATTTTCGCCTCGCCTTGGACCGTTCATCACATTAATATTTCCTGCTATATAGTATTAAAAAAAACACATGAAAATACCATGACTCCTAATTTTGTGCAACCAACGGTCAATTTAGTATTTTATTTTTTAGGAAATCTATTAAGAAATATGGAAAGTTATGGAGAGTTATCTATTAGAAATTATAATTCCATAATAGATTAACTCTCTATAACTTTCCATAAAATCTTTTAATTTGGATGTTTATTTGCACCGGCATTAGAATATCTTGTCTTAATGGAGATTTAGTGGACCCAATAAATTAGGGAGTGAAAAAAGACAAAAAAGAAAATATATAATATTGTTTTACGAAAAGAAATTTAGCCTTTTAGGGAAAACTAATGTAAATTTGTGAGCAATGTTTAATTTATTAATTTATATGGGAAAAACTTTTTGGTGTGCTGAAAAAAGGAGAAACACGAGAGAGATGGACATGGAACAAGACAGCCAACATGTAAGAAGGTTCTATGCCTTTTTGTGGCGACTTAATTCAAATCCTGTTTTAGCCAATTTTGACTTCTTTTTCTTATTATTTTATTCGAATTTAAGTTTGGTTACAGTATAAATTAATCAGCAAATAATGTTATGTTATACATTTTAGTTCGTTTATTGTAAATTAATAATTTTGGAAGTATGTAAGCAATAGAGATCTATATATATATATATAGCAGTGACCTATGATAAGGGTCATGATTATTAATTAGAGGCTAATTATTATCACTGTAAATTTTGGTGCTGACTTTTACTTTAGTGGTGAATATTAAGTTCCACTCACTTTTGACTCAACCATCTTTCACCTATAAATTTGTACACAATTTAATATTTTCTATTTAAAAAAAAATATAGAATGGGCAAAGATCTGAAAAATATGCATTTTTGTTTAGCTTGTATTTGTACGTATAAATTTTGTTTCTACTAGAAACACGTATAATTAGTTTTCAAGAAATCAAAGGAGATATACATAAAATTGTTTCTTTTTTTCATTTCCACTGTCGCAGTTCGAGTTCATGTATGCCCATAAAATAATATTATGTAAGCCATGATACTAAAACATATAATTAATTTAAACTATATATATATAAATATAAAGTCAATGCGATGGCAATCGTGAACTTGCATTTGTGTTTTCTTTGCAAGTTAGGTTTCCAAAACCCAACATTGACTTTAACTCGTTCTCTATTAAACAAATAAACAAATTACAAGTAATGTATATTAATCATTTTGTATTGATATTTACTTCGGTTTGTAAGACAAAAAACCATATTGCTATGGAAAAAAACCAAGAAAAATAAATTAAAGTCACAAACTTTACAAATCTTTTTATATGAGTGATGATAACACAAACACGGTTCATATTAACTCCATTTGAAATCTTCTATTAAAATGACAAAATAATATAATTAAATTGTTTTTTTCCATATAAACGACAAAATAAATAACTAAACGAGGGAATTAAGGATAAAATCGTTGATTTGGGAACATAGACATTACTAATGCTAGTATGTTATCATCTGCCACATGATAAATTATAAAAAGATTTGATATACAATGTTTTTTTTTTTTTTTTTTTTTTGCAGAATCCTTAGCATAATGAAAAATATCAAAACCAAAATACAAAATATAATGACATAAATTACAGTGTCATGTAAAATATCCATATTTAATAATTCTATATAGTTATAACAACTAATTTTGTCCCCACAAATGGTATTGTTTTTCAAAATGTTAGTTTATAACCAAAATCTTGAAACCCAATTAGTCAAAAGTTTGAAACTTTCGACATGGGCGATTTTCTCTTTTACATAATCTTCTTGATCGTAATAAAAGTAATATTAAAGCACAGCAATTAAAATATACGATAAATATTTATTATTAAAGTTGGACCTAATAAAGACGTAGAGAATCCCCATGTGCATGTGAGTGAAATACAGATAACATTTATTGTCTTGCCAACGAATTCCGATCCTTTTTCCCATCATAAAATATTAGTCGTAATCAAATCATTATTATCCTTAAATCATCCTTATCATCATCAAAATGACGGATTACAAATATAATTATTTTTATAGTTGAAGGATTATGTCTGCAAATAGAAAACCTTCGAAATAGAAAAGAGGGTTTCAAAGGAAGAGACGTCGTGTTTTGAGCTCCGTATATTCTTTTTCGCCATTTTATGTTATTATTGAGCAAGATTCTATTATAACCACGTAAAAAAAAATCAATTAGAAATTATGGACAGATCGTTTACATAACACTATATATATATTTTTAAAACATATTTATATACACTCGTTGACCCCAAAATGGCAAAACATAGGGTGTACATGAAAACATTAGTTGGATAAAACATTAATCCAAAAATGGTCCTCTTATACTTGTGTTCGGTGGCAGTTGTAAATATGGGTGACCATTTTGATTTGGATTGGGGTTCGGTTATTTTAGTTTTAAAAAATTATAATTATTCGATTTTTATATTGAATTTATTTTAATTCAATATGAATCGGTTCGTATTCGTTTTTATTGAAAAAAATTGGGTTTTTTCCCGTTCTATTCAACTTTTCGAATTTATAATAATGATAACCATTTGATTTTTAGTTTGAATTTGATTTGATTTATCTAATGTTCTTCGGTTGTGAAGCTCGGTTGGAGCCAGTTTCGAGGCCCAATTTTTGTTAGACTTAAAATGAGCCCTAATAAAAAAAAAATAGGCCCATAATAAAATAGGCTTGGCCTTTTTACGTCCAAGTGATTGTAGTGTACACTAACACTACCAATATTATTGTTAATGGGCGGCGCATGTTCCAGGAACGTCCGATGAGATCGTAGAGAGGCGGAGAGAATTCTAGGGTACGATTTGCTTCGTTCTCGTTCTGATTTCATCGAAGAAGTGAATGAATGAGAAACCCTCCGTCTCTGTTATCTCTCACCATTGATTCTGCTGTTCTTAATCTCTCCTGCATCTCCGATCTCTCCTTTCTTCCCGATCATGTCCTCCTCGATCTCTTCCTGGTAATGCCCAATTCTCTAATTTCTCCTCTTTTTTTTTTTTATGTATTTGTTTTTCGTTATGGGTTCATCTAGTTTCATGTAAACTCCAATCCTCTGTACGCTAGGGACTTGTTGCTTGTGAGATGGTTTCATCTTCTTTCCCTGTCTGGAATTGGAAGCTTTACCCTTTTTGTGGAACACTTTTATAGATTTTTGTAGAGAGAGAGAGAGAGAGAGAGAGAGAGAGAGAAGAATATGGAAGATTATTCATGGTATTTTTTAACACTTTTGTGGGTTTTTGTAATTGGGGAAAGTTGCAATTTTTTCTGTAGCAGTGTATGTGACAAACCTGCTCAGAAGTTGGAAGTTAGAAGTGAGACAGATATATGTTTGTTCCGAATTCCTATCTGAAAACCTTGGATGTCTGAGGCATCAGTGTCTGGATTATTGACAGCATGTTACTGTTCTTTGGTTTTGTATGTTGTACTGGATAATGCTCTGCTTTCGTTAATGGCCAATGCTCGATCCCTTTTGTCTATTTTGCATCAAGTTTGCTCTGATTCCACATTCTGATGCCGTTATATGTTATGTATTTCCAGTAACATGATTGATTCTGTGGCTAATCCTTTTCGGTAAACAATTTCTTTTTCAATGAGTAGCGAACACTCAGAGCTGGAAAGTTGAACGAGAGAGTTCTGAAGCTCTTTGTGGCTTCTGGAAAGGATGAAGTTCTTTCTCTTATTCATGCCCTTAATATCAAGCTTGTTGTGACCCCTGTTCTCCCTACCCGTACGATTTTAGTTTCTCTTTCTCTTTTTCAACTTTGGAAAAATCGGAACTTTTCTTGAAGCTAAATCTCCGACGCTGTTTACAGTTGTGTTTCACTTCTATGTTGCAGGATGCTGCGAGAAATTCTGAACGGGTATGTTGAAATGTAAAGCCTTAACGTGAAACTCGAATGAAGTGAAAGAAGACATAAGGATCTGCAGTTTCTTAGCTTCAAGAGAAATCAGCCCGTGTGATTACAAGTAGTGCCCCTCCTAACGATTATGAGCATTGCAGTTTGCATTTTGACCAAGTTCTCACCTCATTCATGGAGTATAATATCTGATCGTGCGGGAAGTGAACATTGTCACCTTCAACCGGAACTGTTGAGATCTTTCTCAGTATCAGTATCTCACACACAAAAAATGGTTCTCCTTCAACCATAACCTGTGTGTGTATATATATATTCATGAATATATTCGTGGGTGGGGATCAGAATCTGGGATTGAGATAGAGAGATAGATTCAGGAACTTGAGGTGGGCTTTCAAATCTCTGAAGAGTAAGCTCTGTGAATATTGATGAAAACTTTGTCGTTATGGTTATATATATATATATATATATGTAATGGTGTATTGAAGGGAATAACTTGTTGTACAGTGCAATAAATGGTTTTTCTGAATAATCTTTGTTGTTTTTATCGAATTCTTGGTGCAGATGCTCTTCCAAGCTTTAGAGAACCTTCACCCCAGAATGTTAAAAAACGCGGCATCATATGAACAAAAAGGGTTACTTCCTGTGCAAGTAACATAGAGATTGAGAATCTGAGTGTTTCCTTTATTATTCTCGATCTGTATAATAAGGGATGCATTAGAATGCCAAGAGATGAATCATATCAGAGAGCATGCATGACTAAAATTGCTGTATATGAGAGTTCCGAGTTTACGCCCTGCAAAATCATATCATTAAGCATTTAAAAAAATAATAATATATCTACGGACTTCCATGAGGTTAGGTTATTATATATTAAAAAAAACGTTATATAAAGGAAAAGGAAGGATAAAAATGGGGAAATCTTACGGGGCATAGTCGATATTGATGATACCGGCGACGGGGTCGGCAATAGCAGCGAAGGCTTCGCGGGAGAGATCGAGGGTAGAAGGGCAAGAAGGGCAATGGTCAACGATCTTGACGGTAACGGAGTTGCCGTTACAAGGGTGAGGGACGGGGTTACGAGGTCCCGTACACTTAACGGTGAACATTTGTCCGCAAATTTTTCCGTTATCCCAAAGGCTGTCACTCGCCGCCGCTATCATTACCCCCTCCGGCTGGTTCCCGTAACACGCCGACGCTTCCCCACACACAAAAAAAACAACAACGCAAGTAGAGTTACGATTTCAAAAAATATACATATGTAGTTTTTATATTGAATGCGTTTTGATTTGTTTTTTTTTTTAATTCTTTTCACTTAAAGAAATATTTTAAATTTTTTATTTTTAGATTATCTCTATATTCGGTGCTAAAACAAAAAAAAAACAATATAAATATTACGGATTGACATTCCGAATTTTGGTTCGAGTTCGATTTCAATGTTTTTCGGGTTCAGATGTCCTCCCTATATCCTTCCAATTTTTATTGAAATTCTATTGGAATTCGTTTTTTTATGAAAAAAAATATTGAATATACAAACTTTACTAGAGTTCTTTTGTTTTTGTAGATAAAAATATTATTTAAAAAATCGGTGTTTCGGTTATCAATATTTGGATTCGTATTCTACTACGGAAATGGTGTACGGAAAACAAGAAAACAAGGTAAGCATTTGTCTTAACTCAGGACAAGAACACAATGTAATAATGGAGACTCACGAGTATAAGTTGTGTAGAAAGTTGCGATCCCTGGATTTGCATGAGCTGCTCCACACAAGAGGAAAACGACAAATGCAGAGATTGCCATTAATAATACTCTTTTCTCCATTGTTTTTTTTTTAAAAAAAAAATTAGGCAAATGATACTCTGGTTTTTACAAAACTAATGCACGGTTTTATTTATAGTGTATAATATGTAACGTAACTAAATATGGAAAAACCTGCATACCATAAGCATAGGATTAGATATTTAATTATTTTCGTAAATTATGAATTATATCATTAAAGGGTTAATCCCATAAAAATTCCCCAACTTGTTTGACATTGGAAAACTAATTCCCAGACTTGCATTCTCCTATAAAAATTACTCGACTTGAAAAAATTACCATTAGAATACCTAAACTTGTAAAAGATTGTCAGAATTAAAATTGACCGACGTTGACCGCAAACATCGTTAGATGAGGCTGACATGGCAATACACACATGATGCCACCTCATATTTTTATGCCAGATCATCAGCAAATTTAAAATTTAATTTGGACCGGTTGAATCGGTTCAATTAAACAAAGAAACCTTTTTCCCATTGTTCCTCTTCACCACGTTATTTCTCTCACCGTAGAAATGAATTTCTTCGTTCTCCACCATGATTGAACAAATAGAGCTTCCACCATTAGATTTTTGAAGATGTGAAGACTTCGTGAAATAGTCCCCACTAGCGTTTTGATAGCTCCATGAACAAGAATACCCCTTACTCTATCCCGATGCTTTGGATTCATCAAGCCAACGAAAATCTTGTTTCGGTCTGTAATGGATTCGCTCTCCATAACTCTATTAGCAAAGCTCGATTTCGAATTACGTGAATTTCTAACTTTCAAACTATACTTTCTGAAGATCTCAATTGTCACAGCATCTGAAACTATTCAAAATTCCATATACGATACGTTTCTTGGAGACCAGTTCGACAACAGAAACAATGGCTCGAAGAGTTTCATCAATAATTTCCTCTTTTCTTTTCTTTTTTGTTAACTAATATAGTTTCCCTTCCTTTCCATCGACGACGAATTATACACCCTGTAAATGTCATAGCCCGAAACTCCGGAAACTGTCAATAAGATCAACCTTTTTCTTCTTCTCAGAGAAAAATATCAAATTTTTTTCCCCAATTTTAAAAGGATCCATTCAAAACTACAACAAACCAAACCAGTAAAAAGCTTTAGGAATCCTAAAAACTCTATGATTCAGCTGCAAAATTCCAAGTTTCGGAAAATTCAGAAAATGGTTCAATAGAAACCCAGAAAAGAATAATGAAGAATCAGATGAGTTTCAAGACTTGGATCAGAGAGATCCCTCACGATTTGAACGATTTCGACGGAGAAAATAAAATAGGGAAAAATTTATTTATTTATTTTAATTGAACAGGTCTGGTTAAATATTAATTCAATATTGGTCCAAATTAAACTTATATTTTGCTGGCATAAAAATATGAGGTGGCGTCATGTGTGTATTGCCATGTCAGCCTCATCTAACGATGTTTGTGGTCAACGTCGGTCAATTTTAATTCTGACAGTCTTTTACAAGTTTAGGTATTCTAATGATAATTTTTCAAGTTGAATAATTTTTATAGGAGAATGCAAGTTTGGGAATTAGTTTTCCAATGTTAAACAAGTTAGGAGAATTTTTATGGGATTAACCCTATCATTAAATTTACTATTTAGAAATATAAGCCAGCAATTAGATTCCTTGCCATATTAGGCCGAACCCTTTTCCCTGGACAGAGGGTCTGACAGTGGGCAGGCCCAATCCAAATTGACCGGAATTTTATGATACGTAACGCCATCAAACACCTACGTTTACGTACCATAAGCATAAGATTGGCTATTTATTTTCTCAATCTATGAAAATCTTACACGAAATTTGCTGTTTAGAGATATAAAATAAAATCAGCAATTAGATTCCTTACCATAATAGACCGAACCCTTTTCCCTTTTCCATAATACAGCATTAACATCTTGAATACAAACCACATGACAAATATAAATTGAAGATGGAACAAAACCTAATACAATAATCATATCGAAGAGAAATATCATATGGTACGATCATTAAGATCAGAATAAACATCGACATCCATATTGGAAAATGTAAATGATGAATTAATGACGGAATGAAATCAATGATAACATTGTGAAATCACCAATATGAAAGGAGAATAAAACGGAGAATTCAATCGACAAACCAACCTAAACCGAATAATTTGTCTGAATTGAGAAAACTGAAAACTAAACCGGCAAAAAAACCATACCAAGATTCATATAAGAAACTGAGATAACCAGTGGTAACTTCTACTGTAATTGTAAGGAAAGCTAATATTGATCACACCAATGTAGAAACATATTCAACGACAACGACCGTCCTGTTTTCCTGTCCTTGGATAAACGGCGTTAGGAGCTCCGGTACATTTAACGGCGTAATTTCCCAGACGGTTATTTCGGTTTGGGAATTAAAATTCTACCCATTCAATTTTTATATTGGATTTTAAAAAAATATTTTTAGTTATATTCATATTTTATTTGTTATTAATCTTGAATAACAATAATTTTTTATTAGTCTTTTTGAATATATATTCCATCCACCTTCTCCCCGAAAATACTTTATGTGTCTGTGTATATATATAACTATATGTATGTATATATATATTTTAAAACTTTTCTGAAGTGGGAACCTTATTCCTGGGCAGAGGGTTCGATAATGGGCCAGGCCCAATCCAAATTAACCGAAACCTCCCTCTTCGTCGTCATCCTCCTCCCCTCTCTCTCTCCGTCACCACCATCGCCTTCGCCGCCATGAATCCTCGAATGGGTTTTCCTCGTGACGCGTGAAGAATCTTATTCAGTTCAGATTCTCCGATCCCGCACGATTCGGGAGCGATTTCGTGTTCTGTCTCGACTGGTTCAGAGAAGGGAAATGGTTTCGAAACCTTGTCGGACGCCGACGCGTTTTCCCGGAGGTGCGTTGATTCGCGGTTGTTCAAAGTCATAGCTTTCCGATTTTAAGGGTTAGGATTAGATTGGAGGAGGAGGATGAACAAGAAGGAGACTTTTGGGCACGTTTTTGGAACAGAGAAGGAGTAATTTGATAGATCTGTGAGTGTTTTTCTGTCTCTCCTAACTGTAATTGCAAGAACAAGTTAGTGTATCTTCTGGCGGCAAATGTAAGATAATTTTACATAATAATTTATTTCTTACAGCAAAATTTGATTTCCATCAGTTCGCCGTAGTCATGTAAGCTACAGATTCTGTTAAACCACCAAGCAAATCAACCAAGAGATTAACCATTCTGACGAATTCGACCAGTGTTTGAGATTATGTTCATTGGGTAATATTACAAAAATACCTTTAAATGTCGATTTCACTCACATGACATACCCTTCAAACAAAAAACCTTCAAAAAAAAATTGGAAAAGAATGAAAAGACACCGTTACCCCTTTTAAATGATACACGTGTCAACATCTGAAAGAGAAAGATCAAAAATTGGGAAGTTACTAAATCAAAAAAATTTGAAAAACCAAACAGTTTTTTTTGCCCCATTTCGACAGACTTCATAGTATCGTTTCTTCTTCCCCTTCTTCAGTTTCTCTTCACTTTGTGATTTTTCTGTACGATCTTTCTGTGCGAGTTCGTCAAACTCGTCAAACTTGCACGAAGAATGACTTCATCTTCATCATCTTCGGCCTCCTCTTCGGACCCTATTTGCAAAGACCTCCAGGTATAGTTTTTGAACTCCGCAAAAATCAAATTTTTTAGGGTTTCGGATATACATTGAGATTCGGTTTTAGATTTTCTATTAAGTTTTCGTTAAGAATAGGGTTTGAAATAAAAATTTTAAAAACTATGGTTTGAATGACAAATTGTCACTGAAATATCGAAATAGGGTTTTCGGATTGGGTGAAAAACAGTGTTTTGTGAAAAAGACGGATAGAAATCGAGTCACGATGATATTGTCGACAGTCGGATGCACTAAAACATAGATTAATGGTCATGCTAGATATTAGTTAAACTTAGCGCACCCGTTAAACAAGTCAAACTATTCGAGTCTCGAAAATGTTCAAACTCGTCAAACAAGTCGGAGTTTGACGAGTTTGACGAGTTTGACGTGTTTGACGTGTTTGACGTGTTTGATAATGAGTGTTAAATTTGTTTTTGCAGGTACCTTTTGTGTATGATTTTAAGGACATTCATATGGCTCCTAAGATCACGACGAAATGTTATCCATATCAGACTGTTAGATCTCTTAAAAAGGTCTTGACGGATGAAGAATTTACATATTTCAAAAAAGAATCCCAGTTTCGGCATATTTTCCATCTCGCATGTAAGGACACATTGAAGATGGTTCCGGCATCAGTCCTCTTACATCGGGCACTAAAATTGGAAGGAGAAGTGAAACAGTTATGGTTTGTTCTGAATGGCGTGCCTATCAAACACGTCAAACTCTCTTATTTAACGAATTTATCAAGTGCGGACCACGACAATGTTAATAAACACCTCGTATAACAAATTTGATACGTAAATAATAATCGGAGCTAACTGAATTTAACACCTTATTTTGTTTAGCAATGCATGTTCCCCCAAACGAAACCCTAATGTTCTATTACACTTTATGTTACACATTGGTCTAGGGTAGGATTTATCATTTTCTCACACGCTCTCCTCACAACAAAAACACGCTCAATACGTCATAATAGACCCTGTACACAACTTTGAACCATCGGAATGTCATTTTGACCACAGGTTGACCGCGTTGACTCGTCAAACACGTCAAACACGTCAAACTCGACAAACTCGTCAAACTCGTCAAACTCTCTTATTTGACGAATTTATCAAGTGCGGACCACGACAATGTTAATAAACACCTCGTATAACAAATTTGATACGTAAATAATAATCGGAGCTAACTGAATTTAACACCTTATTTTGTTTAGCAATGCATGTTCCCCCAAACGAAACCCTAATGTTCTATTACACTTTATGTTACACATTGGTCTAGGGTAGGATTTATCATTTTCTCACACGCTCTCCTCACAACAAAAACACGCTCAATACGTCATAATAGACCCTGTACACAACTTTGAACCATCGGAATGTCATTTTGACCACAGGTTGACCGCGTTGACTCGTCAAACACGTCAAACACGTCAAACTCGTCAAACACGTCAAACTCGTCAAACACGTCAAACTCGTCAAACACGTCAAACTCGTCAAACACGTCAAACACGTCAAACTCGTCAAACACGTCAAACTCGTCAAACACGTCAAACTCGTCAAACACGTCAAACTCGTCAAACACGTCAAACTCGTCAAACACGTCAAACTCGTCAAACACGTCAAACTCGTCAAACACGTCAAACTCGTCAAACACGTCAAACTCGTCAAACACGTCAAACTAAAAGAAAGAAACAAAGAGAAGAAGAACGAGAAGAAGAAGTAGAAGGAGGAAGAGAAGAAGAAGGAGAAGAAAGAATAGAGGAAGAGGAAGGAGAAGACGAAGAAGGAGAAAAAATATCCTTCAAAAATATGTTGAAAAAGATTGTAAAAGACTCCGAAAAAAAAATAATTGCAAGAGTTGAGAAGAAAGTAATTGAAAAAGTGAAAAAAATTTTGGAGAGGGCAGGAATCAATGTGGAAGGAGTCGATTGGTCTGAGATACAAGACAACGAGTTCGAGTTTAGATCTCGTTTTTCGGATGAGAATGTAGACCTTCCACAGGACGAGCAAGGTATGGTGTTACACTTTAGACTTTATTTGGGCGAACCGAGTTAGGGGGAGTTAGATTGGTTTGACTCTTTTGATTGACGAGTTTGACCGGTTTGACTCTTCTGATTGACGAGTTTGACTGATATTCATATAATTGGTCATATGTAGGACATCAATCTGTGCAAGAATCTGACAATGATCAAGAGGATATAGAAATTGCACAGAACGAGCAAGGTATGATCTTACACTTTCAATTATTTGGGTAGCCCGAGTTAGATTGGTTTGACTCTTTTGGTTGACGAGTTTGACCGGTTTGACTCTCTTTCGAATTAAGTTGTATCTAATCAGGTTTAAGACCTCTTCCGTATTAAGAACCTCTTTCGTGATAAGTACCTCTTTAATTTATTAGTATTTTATTTCTTAAGAACATCTTATTAATTACGTCAAACTCGGCAAACTCGCCAAACTCGTCAAACTCGTCAAACTCGTCAAACACGTCAAACACGTCAAACACGTCAAACTCGACAAACTCGTCAAACTCGTCAAACTCTTTTATTTGACGAATTTATCAAGTGCGGACCACGACAATGTTAATAAACACCTCGTATAACAAATTTGATACGTAAATAATAATCGGAGCTAACTGAATTTAACACCTTATTTTGTTTAGCAATGCATGTTCCCCCAAACGAAACCCTAATGTTCTATTACACTTTATCATTTTCTCACACGCTCTCCTCACAACAAAAACACGCTCAATACGTCATAATAGACCCTGTACACAACTTTGAACCATCGGAATGTCATTTTGACCACAGGTTGACCGCGTTGACTCGTCAAACACGTCAAACTCGTCAAACACGTCAAACTCTCTTATTTAACGAATTTATCAAGTGCGGACCACGACAATGTTAATAAACACCTCGTATAACAAATTTGATACGTAAATAATAATCGGAGCTAACTGAATTTAACACCTTATTTTGTTTAGCAATGCATGTTCCCCCAAACGAAACCCTAATGTTCTATTACACTTTATGTTACACATTGGTCTAGGGTAGGATTTATCATTTTCTCACACGCTCTCCTCACAACAAAAATACGCTCAATACATCATAATAGACCCTGTACACAACTTTGAACCATCGGAATGTCATTTTGACCACAGGTTGACCGCGTTGACTCGTCAAACACGTCAAACTCGTCAAACTCGACAAACTCGTCAAACTCGTCAAACTCTCTTATTTGACGAATTTATCAAGTGCGGACCACGACAATGTTAATAAACACCTCGTATAACAAATTTGATACGTAAATAATAATCGGAGCTAACTGAATTTAACACCTTATTTTGTTTAGCAATGCATGTTCCCCCAAACGAAACCCTAATGTTCTATTACACTTTATGTTACACATTGGTCTAGGATAGAATTTATCATTTTC